AAAAATACAATGACATATAAGCTAGTAAATAAGCGCTAGTTCAGTTCTCCCTGTTCACTCAGGACGTAGCAGCTAACGTTAGCTAAAGCTAACCTAGCTGGCTAGCTGGATGATAACGTTAGCTAAAGCTAACCTAGCTGGCTAGCTGTATGCTACATGCTAGCATAAAGGCTCAGCTCAGGATTCTGACTGGAATAATAAATAATAGCAAATGAAGTGCTGTTGATGTAGTTTTCTGTTTCTGTAAACACCTGTATGGCCTTTCACACGTTTGGGACATGGGTAATTTTTTTTCTTTTGCGTTCCCTCGCAATACTTTTGCGTTCCCTCGCAAAACCTTTTGCGAGGGAACGCAAAAGTTTGAGGCAGCTTTCCGGAACCAGACGACAATGGAGCAGACAGTACGAGTGTACTGTCAGTTACATAATGTTAGTTATGTTAGTTTTTTATGTTTATTTTTAATAAATATAGTAAATATAACTTCGGTTATTTTAAATGTGCTCTATAAATAAAATTTGACTTGACTTGACTTGACTTAAAACAGCTGGCTAGCTTTATGCTCCCTGTTACATTCTAGCATTCTAGTTTAAATTCTGTTATTACCATACTATTATTACACAGTAATTAGCCATTTGGATAATGCCTAATTTGGGCATTTTGTGACGCAAGCAGGTCGATTTATGATGGTTTCTCCTACTTTTTGGACCCTCTGGCCTTTTGAGATGCTTTATTTGTGTTTTGTTTTCTATTTTTGTAAACACCTGTACGGCCTTTCACACGTTTGAAATAATATAAACAATAACTATCAAACTTTTGACTGCCTTTTTTAAATATACACAGTACTTGTACTTTTACTTATACTTTCGATACGTGAGTAGCAGTTTTTGAAATACTTCTACTTGCAATACTGAAGTACTAAAAAAATTGAGTACTTCCGTACTTCCACTTAAGTATGGAGTTGAAAGAACACTTCAACGTGTACGTCATTTTTTTAATATAGTACTTGTATGCTCCCTGTTACATTTTAGCATTCTAGTTTAAATTCTATTATTACCATACTATTATTACACATTTGAGATGTTTTATTTGTGTTTTGTTTTCTGTTTTTATAAACACCTGTATGGCCTTTCACACGTTTGAAATAATATAAACAATATCTATCAAACATTTGACTGCCTTTTTTAAATATACACAGTACTTGTACTTTTACTTATACTTGTACTTTCAATACTTAAGTTGCAATTTTTTAAATACTTCTACTTGCAACACTTAAGTACAAAAAAACGTAGTACTTCCGTACTTCCACTTAAGTATGGAGTTAAAATAAAAACTTCAACTTGTACTTGAATTTTTTTATATATTACTTGTACTTCTCCTCCACTCCTCTATTCCAGTACTTTATACATCTCTGCTGTTCAGAGGCCTTTTGAGATGTTTTATTGTGTTTTGTTTTCTGTAAAAACCTGTATGGCCTTTCACACGTTTGAATAATACCGATCAAACTTTTGACTGCCTTTTTTTAATACAGTACACAGTACTTTGTACTTTTACTTATACTTGTACTTTCAATACTTGATTAGCAATTTTTTAAATGTTTATGTTTATGTTTATGCATTTGGCAGACACTTTTATCCAAAGCGACTTACAGAGTAGACACAATATTACATTTTTCATCATCGTGAAATACTTCTACTTGCAACACTACAGTACAAAAAAAACGTAGTACTTCCGTACTTCCACTTAAGTATGGTGTTGAAAGAACACTTCTACTTGTACGTAAATTTTTTTATTTTATGTAGTACTTGTACTTCCACTCCACTCCTCTACTCCAGTACTTTATGCATCTCTGCTGTTCACTCGGGACGTAGCAGCTAACATTAGCTAAAGCTAAGCTAGCCGGCTAGCTTTATGCTCCCTGTTACATGATGGCATTCTAGTTTAAATTCTGTTATTCCCATACCATTATTCCACAATAATTAGCCATTTGGATAATTTGGACATTTTTCTGACGCAAGCAGGTGGATTTGTGACGGTTTCTCCTACTTTTTGGCCCCTTTGGCCTTTTGAGATGCTTTATTTGTTTTTTGTTTTCTATTTTTGAAAACACCTGTATGGCCTTTCACACTTGTAACTGCCTTTTTTAAATATACACAGTACTTGTACTTTTACTTATACTTGTACTTTCAATACCTGAGTAGCAATTTTTGAAATACTTCTACTTGCAATACTTAAGTACTAAAAAAATTTCCACTTCCACTTAAGTATGGGGTTGAAAGAACACTTCTACTTTTACGTCCATTTTTTTATATAGTATTTGTACTTCTCCTCCACTCCTCTTTTCCAGTACTTTATACATCTCTGCTGTTCAGAGGCCTTTTGAGATGTTTTATTGTGTTTTGTTTTCTGTAAACACTTGTATGGTCTTTCACACGTTTGAATAATACCTATCAAACTTTACTTATACTTGTACTTTCGATACGTGAGTAGCAGTTTTTGAAATATTTCTACTTGCAATGCTTAAGTACAAAAAAATGGAGTACTTCCCTACTTCCATTTAAGTATGGGGTTAAAAGAACAGTTCTACTTTTACGTCAATTTTTTTTGTACTTCCATCTCTCTCTAGTACTTTATACGTCTCTGGTGAGGTCGGTGTGAATAATTCAGCAGCGTCTGCTCACCGGATCCCCGCTGGCTCTCACAGGGGAAAAAGGCTGAAGGAGGAAGCTTTCAGGCCGGACTCTGCCAGCTGGAGCCCGAGCTGAGAGGTGAGTACTTATTTATTTATTTATTTATTTAATCCGGACAGTGCACATTAATGAACAATCGCATACAGATTGTAAATGAGCCAGATTCTAGCATAGTTACTATTTTACATCTGTGGTCCTGAGGCAGGAAGACCAAACAACACAAAATCACAAAATACAATATACAATATCAGTCCAAACACACGTTCAGACAATGACATTACAAAATTAAAATTAGTTAGTGCATGACTGGGAACTTTTGAAAAACAGTTTAAGGTGCTTTTTAAATGTGTAAAGAGTGGGACGTTCCCTGATATTTGTTGGGAGTTTGTTCCAGAAGTTTCCCCCTCTGACCGGTAGAGGTTTGTCCAGAGGTTGTTCTTCTGTGGGGGATTTCTAGGTCTAATGTAGGTCTAATGTAGGTAAAGTGGAGGTGGGGCTAATCCATTCAGAACTTTGTAAAGTACAAATACAAGTACTATATAAAAAAATGTACTTGAGTAAAACTAGATGTATTCTTTCAACACCATACTTAAGTGGAAGTACGGAAGTACTCCATTTTTTTGTACTTAAGTATTGCAAGTAGAAGTATTTCAAAAATTGCTACTCAGGTATTGAAAGTACAAGTATAAGTAAAAGTACTGAGTATAAAAAAAGCAGTCAAAAGTGTGATAAATATTGTTTATATTACTTCAAATGTGTGAAAGGCCATATGCTGTTTACAAAAAACTACATCTGCATTAGCATCAACAGCTTTTCATCTACTATTATTTATTATTCCATTTAGTATTTCCAAAATTGCTACTCAAGTATCTAAAGTACAAGTATAAGTAAAAGTACAAGTACTAAAAAGGCAGTCAAAAGTGTGATAGATATTTTTTATATTACTTCAAATGTGTGAAAGACCATACAGGTGTTTACAAAAAACAGAAAACTACATCTGCATTAGCAATCAACAGCACTTCGGCTACTAATATTTATTATTCCAGTGTCACAAATGTTGTTCTTCTGTGGGGGATCTCTAGGTCTCCTCTGGTGCAAACAGACCTCTGCGTTTAGATCGGCCGTTTCGGATCCGACTGGGGTCAGACTGGGACACTTAATCTTAATGAGGGTGTTTCTTCTTGTCCAACAGGCTGTGCTTACTCGTGTCATGCTATCATGTTTTATCCAAGTGCTGTTTAACTGGTTTTAATTGAATCAGATAAGAAACTAAATCTCTGGAATTTGAGCAACGATGTGTGTTTTTTTAATTAAAGATAAATCTAAAGTCTGATGCTTTTCTCGACTCCTTTAGAAGTTTACACTGGATGTGTTGAAAGAAATCTAAAGTCTGGACCTTGTGACACATTGTTTTTGGTTTAAATTAAATCAGATAAGAAACTAAATCTCTGGAAACTGACCAACGATGTGTGTTTTTTTTAAATAAAAGATAAATCTAAAGTCTGATGCTTTTCTCAACTCCTTTAGAAGTTTACACTGGATGCGTTGAAAGAAATCTAAAGTCTGGACCTTGTGAGACATTGTTTTAGGTTTAAATTAAATCAGATAAGAAACTAAATCTCTGGAATCTAACCAACGATGTGTGTTTTTTTAATTAAAGATAAATCTAAAGTCTGATGCTTTTCTCGACTCCTTTAGAAGTTTACACTGGATGTGTTGAAAGAAATCTAAAGTCTGGACCTTGTG